TCCATTCCCAGAATCATCGTAGTTACTGCAACTAGCAGTCCTCCTCTAAACCTTTTCCAACAAGTCATTATCTTTATTTTTTAGATAAGGAGGTTACACAATAGTCCAAAGGAGGCCTAACTGTGGATGTGTTACATAATGTTTACACTGGTTACCCAGGTACACATCTGACAACTTTATAACTCAGTTCCAAGATCACTACCCAGATCCATCAAAACAATAACTAACATCAAACTGCATGCATTTATTTAATTTTTTTATCAGCATTCCAGCTTTCCAAGGTTGTCTAAGTGTAAATATCAAGAATGGTATGTCATATATGTTTTGTGTGTGTTAAGAAATAAAAGAAAAAAAAGAATTCACCAAAGCTTTGGTATGTGTTTGTTTTGTTTTGCATGCATTCCTTTCTCTCTGATAGTACCACAAGTCTCATCCCCACCAGTGATTGTGTACTGTTATTGTTTACTAGATACAGTGTACAACACACATAACATCACACAGTTGTCAGGTTGCATACTGAGGCTTGCGATATTGTGCACAAAGCCTGTATGCAGTGCAACAAACCACTCCATGGGTAATATACACTTGAATCTGAACTTGCACTTGTCATCACGCATTCATGAAGTCCATTGGCTGATGCAGTATGGGTTATACTATGGATTGTTCTGCCTAATCACATAAACTATATCAGTGACAGAAATTGGAAGCATATGATTAGCCAAACAATAATATCAGAATGTGAAACTCATTTGAAGGTTGCTGTAAAATATCTGACTATAAAGTAAGGGAGGGACCGTAGATGCTGGAAGTTGCAACTAATGGCAAAGTAGTAAAATAGTTTGTGTCATGGTTACATTACTGCAGTAAGCAAGTTTAACCATGGCTTGCAAGTTATAACTGCTCTGTAAGCCACAAACCCTTGCTTGTGTCTAGGATAGAAAAATTAAAAAAGGCTTGCAGAATACGGTTAATTCGGAAGCTACACTGACTACACATCAGAAAATGAGCATGACAAACAGTACAGCAAGCAGTAGACTTAGTTTAACTAACCAGGAGCTAGCCTAAGCAAGGCCTATACTGTAAATACAAATGCTCCATTTCAGTTTCATGATTTTTTGTAAATTTTTCCTTTAGTTTTAAACGTTTTTGTAATGTTTTTATACTATCATTTAATCTCATTCCCTGCAACTTTAGCTTTCCAGATTCTACCAAATTTACAAAACTGCAAATACAGGCAGCCCAACACTAAGCTAACCAGTCTTTCAGTTTCCATTGATATTTAAAATTAAGTAAACTGACAGCTATCCAACAGATATTGACCCTCGGGTACCTGGGTTGAAAATTTCTATGCAGTGTAACCACCAGTTTAGAGATAATTACCACTTTTGACTTGTAATTAATACATCTATAAATATGTATAAAAATTATATTAACTTTACAATTAGCCTTGATTGCTTGAGTGACTTTATCCACCAATATCCAAAAATCATTTTCTTCATCTATATAAAATGTCTAATCCAAATTATGATAACTCAAATTCATGTGACCTTGCACATACTATGATTAAAGATAATTTGCTAAATATTTGTTTAACTTACCATCAGGATTTGGCATTTAACTGATCAAAAAAAGTCAATTGACCATTCAAATAATATTTTTAACCTTAAATGACATAATGAATTTTACTAAATTTAATGTAAGTAGTGTAAATAAAATGAATATAAAGAACTGGTTTATTGTTCATTTTCAGCCACATAATAACAATAAAACCAGTGCTGTATAGTGGTGCCATTTTGGCATTGTTTATTGTAATAAATAGCATAAACAATAATTATACCAAATATCTAACTGTATTTTTAATAATAAGGATGGTTATGAAGTTACATTGCAAGTTTAAAGAACATCATATTCTTATCAAACTGGAGAAGCTTTCTGAGAAAATGGGCAAAAACTAAACTCAAAAAGGAAAACTGAAACACAGCAGCCTAATAAAGCAGTTTGTCAGTAATATGGATGACCTTTTTGGCATCACTCATAGGAATGCCATTATGCTGATGAAGATCTCAGAAGACAAGGAATTTCTTTTTGCACAGAGGGAAAGTGGATGACATAGGTGTAGGACCAGGCAGAGTTCTTTCTTTACAGAAATCAAGAGCTGAAAAAATAAACGATGCAAGTATAGACAGGAACAGCAGATCTTGAATGAAACTGTTAGTTGTTGGAAATCAACTCGCAGCAGTGATGATGGCGTTGTTGGATACAGTTTCAATAACAGTGACGAGGATTGAGGAGCAATTGGAGAATTATCACTTTCTAAACTAAAAATAGGGCAAGAAGAAATATCACTCACAATTTAGCACCACTTATGGACAGAACCAAATTGAGTGACAGAAAAGCAACATTTGTTCTTACTACCAAAGCTCACAGTCTTGGTTATGATGTGCAGAAGCTAACCAACAACCATTTCTTGGTCCAAAGATCTCAACATCACTTCTGTAAAGAACTTGTCAAAAACTTGAAGGAATAGTTCCAGCCAACAGTCTAACTTATAGTTCACTGGTATAGGTGGCTCCTTAATGACCTCACAGGGAAAGAATAAGTGGATTCTCTGCCAGTGAACCGGTCTGGAGTAAAAGTAATCCAACTCCTAGGTGTTCCAAAATTGACTTCTAATACTGGAAAGGCTCAAGCCTCTGTTGCGACATATTTTCTGTAAGAGTGAAGAGTCACTGACAGTGTAAAGGTAGTTTGCTTTGACACAACAGCAAGGAACACATGTCACATAAATGGAGCATGTATGCTGTTAGAACAAAGATTAAACAAGAATTTTCTGTATTTGGCATGCCAGCATCACATCTTAGAATTTGTCCTGGCATATTTTCAAAGGCTGAATGAGGCTTTCCTCTGGTTTGGGTATTGCAATTTTCAAACAATTATAGCAATCTTGGGAATACATGAACCAGTCTAGTTATTAAAATGCAGCTGAACATGATAAAGTAGCATAAACTAATAGAGGAAGTTAAGGAAAGTATCAATGGGTTTGCTACAAGACAACTTCAGGTCAGCCAACCTAGAGAGAATTATTGAGAGCTTCTTGAAATAGCCATAACTTTTCTTGGTGGCATCCCTCCTTGCAAGTGTGATTTATATCATCTGGAGCACTGTATCATCCATGATACATGGCCAAGGCATTATATGCTTTCAAGGTTCAGAGGTTTATAGAGCAGTTAAGCTTACTGGTTGTGAGGAAATAAGACTTTTGACATCTGCACCTTCATTGTTCAAGTCTATTTTAGGGCATGGTTCACTTCTTCCAATGCCATTTCTGCTTCTCACAATGACCCCAACTTCCTTAAATGTCTTGTTAGATATATGAAAGTCAATTCTTCTCTTTCAAAATCTGCCCATCATAAATTTGCTGCACATCTATGGTATCTCAATGAGGAACTATTGGTTTGGCATTTTTTGATTAAGCTGTACCCATAGAGACAAAATGAAAAATGGTAAAGGCACTAAATGATAAAGAATATATAGACGAACTTACATCTAGATGAATATCAGAAAATATGAAGATACTCCATATTCTGTTTTAATATAGGTTTTTGTAGCTGAAAGAATTTCTTTAACATCAGTGCATCACTTTTTTTAAGATTAAAATATTCCAAACCTTAATAAATGTTGATATATTTAATTAATATTAAATCAAAGGAAGCTACCTATACATACATAATAACTACATATCTACCCAGTAACGAGTGTAGCAACTTAAGTACACTGCTCTTACATTATTACCTATAAAAATTAGAATGCATTCTTTCACCATTTGGGTGCCCTCATTGATAGTAATATTTTAATCCATAATTCCAACAATATCTCACAAGGTTCATCCAGCTTACGAGATTTAGGTAAGCCCTAAATCCATATCTTAAGTTAGCAAAGCAAATTAATCTTTATAATAAAAATTAAAAGTAATAAAAATATACAGATTAAACAATATTGTTATTGAAAATAACATTAAGGAAACAGAGTATACCTTACTGATAAACCTACCAATGGTTTGCTTGGTGCACTTTTGTAGATTACTATTTAGAGTTTGAGAAGTTTCCCTTAAACTCTTATTTATCTCTCTCTCTCTCTCTCTTTAAAAAGAGCTGTTATAGGAAAGCTCCAGATCCATAGTGTTTTGGAATTTTTTTGTTAGTTGTAATTTTGAGGCATATAAAAAGTTTGCATTTCATTAGTGCTTCTAATCATATCTGTGAAAGAATGATATTGATACTGTTGAAAATGCCTCCATTCTTCAAAAGGATATGCAAAATAAGATGTAATACTGAGAAGTGTAAATTTATTACATACTGAAAACTTTTGACCATTTGAAGTTAAGAGATCTTAATGAATCCCTTTAAGATAATCCATCCCTGGAATCATCCTAGTAGCCCTCCTCTTAACCCATTACAGTTATTCACTATCCTTTCTTAAAAAAGCCTAACAAATGATTTGTATACAGGCATCTGCTCATGTCTAAAAGGAAAAGAGAGATGTTTTACATATCTGATCTTTGACATCCTTTAAATTCTAGGACAACTTTGTCTTGTCCTATTGGTTATTTTATTTCTTAATCTTTTTATTATTTATACAAGTAATAATATGAGAAAACTGAAAAACTGCTAGGAAAAAGATAAATATTTATATGTAACGATGATAAACTCTTGAGACTGAAACCTTCAGTAGTTCAACATTTACCAGTGATAAAAATAACTGCACAAAGCTACAAAATTTTGTATAATGGTGTAGTAAATTGTTAAACTTTGTTACCAATCAACGTAAACCACATCATACAAATTAAATATAATTGTTGCTACTTTCAACAAATTGGAATTTCAATGGTAAACAAATACTAATAGTTTGATAACTCCAACAACAAGGTATCCAAAATAATAGATGGTTCACAAAAAGTAATATTACCATTTACGTCAAAAATTTACTTCAACAAAACTTACTGTTCTGACTTGGAATACTCTGGAAACTTGGTTGATATAAGATCTTGAATAGTTTGTAAAGACTGTGGTTCTGCAGATATTCCTTGGGCTCGTTCTTTACGTCTTCCACGGTAAATGTAGCTATTATAAGATGGTGGCATAAGCACAGACTGATATTTGTCCAATTGACTACGTAACTGTTGAATTTCTTCATCTTTCTGAGAAAGCAAGTTCTCTAGTTGTTGGATAGTGTCTTGTTGATGTTTAATAGTCTCATTTATGTCTTCTAGGGTTCCCATTATAACTTTATTAGCAATTTATTTGCTAATTTTTCAGCCCTAGAAAAAGTTAAAAATCTATTTCAACAAAAAATCAGTGATTCTGAGATAAATTAAAGATCTAATGCAAGCTTAAAGTTAAAATACATCATACTCTAAAGGCTAAAAATATCAAAAGTAATAATATAATAATCAACTTATAGTTACACAATGCTTCTCCTTATCCTTAGTCCTGCGTTTAATTAAACCTCATAAAATATTATAGTGCCTTATAATGGAAATTAAGAGCTAGAGTAACTTCAGTAAGTTAGGGATGGACTATTCACAGCATGTTGTGCACTCTAAAATGTTCCACAAATAAACTCGAAGGTCAAAAGTTTGAATTTCTGTAACTGAAGATAATACTCAGTTTGCTTTATCTAGTTGTCCTCAACTTCGTATCTGAATGCAAGCATAGCTTCGTTTACTTTAAGATGAACTTAGTATTTTGAACTTATGTTCCTGCACTTCCACTTCAGCGTTCACATTTCATTAGATTCCAAACTAGTTCACGAAATACTTTTTCAAATCTAATTCCATGCACCTTTTAAACAGAATATTGTGAATGTCTTAACGATATGACATACAGTCAAAATTCCAGAAATGAAACTAAACACTTTTAAATAAAATTACAAGTTAACTTCGACTCCTACCTTGAACAAACTGGAACAAATCACATGGCAAATACAAACGTGTTTAATGTGCCACACAAGTTCAAAAGAAAAATCACTATGTCGCCCTCTATCGGTGTTTTCTATCTTCTTTTTTTGTTGTGTGTGTGTGTGGTTTAAGGGCAGATTCTCCTTGATCAGTGGATGAGGCTCAAAAATCTAACGTGCGACGAGCGAAAATAGAGCAGAGTTTAACATTTTTACAATAAATGTAAGAACTTAAAAACTAGGTCAGGTCATTTGGCAGTACATTTTACTTCTTACAGTTATCATAGTAAAATAATTAGTTTATTATTTTCTGCAATAAGCTCAAAGTAAAAAGAAACTTAAATGCATATTGAACTGTTATCTGTAAGTTCTTAATAATGAAGAGTTCATTATTTTGGTGTAAAAATAATCTTGAATATTTTGTGGTGAATAGATAAATAGCGTATTATTATATATATTTTAACCTATACATTATAATTGAAAACAAATAAAAACTAAAATAACCATAAATAAATACTCTCTACATCTTCTTAGTATTGCCCAGTGGTTTAAGTGTCGATCTGCTAAACTACAGGTCCAAAGATCGAGCCCGTGATATTCTGATACTTTAAGCGCTCTGGGAACTTTATAAAAGCGACATTTGATCTTGGTATTTGGTGAAAAGTAGCCGCGCCAGCACATGCTGCTGGCTTGTTTCCTTTAAGCAGTTCAATATTAAAAATGAGTATGCTTGAATATTGGGGTTTCTAAACCCGGCCGTTAAGCATACATGCCGCATAAGGTGTCGTTCATATTGAAGCTGAATATGAAATTAGATAATTATGATGCTATTGTGATTTAGTAAAACAAGTTAAGCTTGACATTTAATTATTTCCGTTATACACAATTTACTACCAATATGTCAAGCTAAAGTTATTATGAAAGGCGCTTTTGTTTTTCAGTATTAAAAAAAAAGTTACTAAACTGATAATTATTTTCAGTTTTTGTTGTTGTTGTTGATGATGTTTTTGTTATGCAGTGCAATTCAATAAGAGTTACTTGATTTCAGCCATTACTCCAGTAAATTAGAGCTTACTGCTTATTTGGTCTACCGGTTGCTAAGAGGTAAATTTAAAGGCTTATAGCGCTAGACTTTAGGATTCAGTTCATGCGGTAGGCACAGCACAAATAGCCTATTATGCAACTTTAGGGTTAGCGCTAAGTTTACGGGTTTACAGCACAAAATTCCTAGGTTCGATTCTCCCGATAGACAGAGTGTAGTTAAGCTCATTGTGTAGCTTTGAACTCAGAACAATAGCATAACAATCAAAGCATCAATATTTTCGAAACATTATAGATGAGATAAATCTCTGTATTAAAATAATTATAACTCTATGGATTAATTAATGAAACATATTGAGCGTTTTGTCCAAAAAATTAAGAACATGTTATGTAATACTAATATTTTCATCTCTTTGTCAAAAATCGTTAATAACAGAACTTTTACACATCATAACTCTGAAAATGCGAAAATACTTTTACTTTAGATTTAATTGAGTATTAGGTGCGATACAAAATTATATAAAGTACAATAAATATATGCCTCCCAGTGGCACAGTGGTGTGTCTGCAAACTTACAACGCTAGAAACCGAGTTTCGATACCCGTAGTGGGCAGAGTGCAGATAGCCCATTGTGTAGCTTTGTGCATAACTACAAACAAACAATAAATGTAATCATTTGAATTGATTCATTAGTAGTAAAACTCACTGAAAACTTTAAACTTATTAAGAAAATAAATAATTTCAGTTCTGTTATGGACACATATTGTAGAAGATTATATGATTTTATGTGTTTAAAGTACTAATTTAGTAGAAAAGTATTACTTGTTTTGCCACATTCACATTATCATTACAGTACTAAACTCCATTCTTTTAGTTGGTTAGTTAAACTTTTTATATTTTTAACATTGACATAAGCTAAAACCAATATGACATAAATTAATTTTTCTAACTTGCTTATGAAAACAGAAATTGGATATATTTGCAAATTCATGTGTCTAATGACAAAAAAAAATACTTTTTACATAAGTTTCATTTCAAATGACATTTAATGGAAAGTTTCATTACATTGCTCATTAATCGTTGTTTATTGTTACAGCATTAATCATTCTAGATTACTGTAATATTTAATCTAAGCCTGTTCAATACAGAAATAAAGCATATCGTCACTTATCTATTTCTTGTGCAACAAAAATTACTCCAAGATCATATAAAAAGTTTGGGGAAACAATATCCAGGAATACTACCGAATGTATTTAGTAATTGTCGTCATGTTTCATAATTTAATTTTAGTTGTCTGTCTTTAAATGTTAATTGAAATTTGATCTTTCTTGCCATACTATTTTCTAATAGTAAGGCCGCGTTATAAAAGACTCGGATTTCATATATCCATGTATCAACTTTCACTAATCAACCACAGCCGAGATTGAACATCCATGCGCTCAACAACTTCTTGTTCTCATATTAGAATTTCTAGGCTTGAAATTTTTTTTGTTTTAACATCAAGCTATTATTTTCTTCTGTTTCATATACAGGTCAGGAAACAAGTCCCCGAAGGCTTGATTGAATTAAAGAAACAAATCGGAAAATGAATTAAAAAATTCTAAATGAACTGTAATATATTATGATATTTTTTCCTAGTGAATTTACTGTGAGGAGAGGAAATCCTCTGTACATCTTACATAAACGTCCAGAGATACAGCTTTTGAATGGATTATTCAATTATATTTTTTAACTTTATTACAACGTTTCAACCTCTCGCTTGGTAACATCAGGTAACAAAATTATCTACTCAAAAACTGTATCTCTGACTTTTATTTAAGGAAGTTTGCATTACTTTAAGTGATGTTAAACGTCAAGATTGAAGAAAATTCCAGTTTTGAAGGATGGTAAGTCATGATGTGCTGTTTACACTCATATACATCTTATTAACGTTTATTAACACAGTCACACCATTATTACAATTATAGTGTTAAAGTTCATTATTTCAATTCATCAGTTAAAACTCAGTAAATATTGTTTCCATTTAAGATACATTGCATATTTTGTGGTAAGCGGCTTCATCGGTATTTCTAACATATGAAAGTAACCATATAAAATCGCTTCACTTTCTTGTATAAAATGTTGCGCTGCTAATGATTTACTGCATGCTACTGGCATCATACTTTTTTAAATCACCCATGTGAAAAGTATATTTTAAACATTCGTCTTTTTTATTTTTATTTAGGTTCCATTTTACGTTATTCTGACATTTCAGCTCCATGTAGACTTTGGCTTCTCAATTTTATTGATTTTATTGCATTTATCCTCAGAGTAAAAATACTGTTACGTCTCTGGTCGTTCGTTTGTTAATTTTCCGTAGACATTCTTTCCGAGAAACTTCAGCGATACAAGTCCTTTCTTAAATAGAACTAGTTTATTCTTTCTCAACTTAACTTTGCAATACACTTAATTTCCACAGTCACTTTAACTTAAACATACGCTATAATTCACAACAATTCATGAACTTTACTTACGGTCACTACCGCACTTGACTCAATTGTCCGTCTCTGTCTCTGCCTGTCTGCAATTCTATCCTCGCCGTCACTTTTTTTTTGTCGGCTTATATACTACAAAAGCGTACATCTAGATTACACTCGTCTCTTCGTGAATCTTTTAGGTACTCATCACGTGTTACAAGCGTCACGTGACTTCCGCTGTCGTAACAATACTTTAAAATTATCTAGTACGTTCATTTATATATACAGAAAAAATGTTGACCTATCATCGATATTATACAAAATTATTATCAAAGTGTTA